AAGGTTTTATCCAAGTGGTTCCTGTCACCTGGCCTTTCCAGGATGGCTTTCCAAGGCTTTATCCAAGGGGTTCCCATCACCTGGCCTTTCCAGGATGGCTTTCCAAGGCTTTGTCCAAGGGGTTCCCATCACCTGGCCTTTCCAGGATGGCTTTCCAAGGCTTTGTCCAAGGAGATCCCATTACTTGGCTTTTCTAGGACAGCCTTCCAAGGCTTTATCTAAGGAAGATGACTTCAAGATCTCCATCCTTCCTTGAGGAATCCTGATTCCTCAATGGTCGAATGCCCAGATGTTATCCGTGGCCACGAGCAGATTGGTCCATGTTCCCTTCCCTGGGAGCTGCTTCAGCCTCCATCCCGGAGGTGCTATCACAAATCCCATGTAATTCAGAGGAGATCTTGCCCTCAGTTGATATTTTTGAGGGATGAAGTCACGTCTGGGTCCATTTTTACCTCTCAATCCATGCAAGGCCCCGTCCCCGCGCGCGCAGCCGCGCCAGGGGCACAGGGAGATGCCCCCGTTGTCTGTAATTAATTAATTTACAGTGGATGTCTCTTTTCTGCCGTGCCTTTGAACTCTTTATTCTTTGTCCATTGTAAAGGGCTTAACGGTTCCTGTTCCTTGATTCTTTCATCAGTGAAATGTTTTGGAAGAGAGGTTGGAGTCCCCCTGTGACCTGCCCTGGGTGGCCCAGGCCTGTAGACCTTGCAAAGACATTACTTTTTTGGCCTGAACACAAACCCCTCAAACCTTTAGCCTGGCTAAATGCTTTGTACAAACAGCCGCATACTGATCTGCTCTATTCTCCGGTGATTTTCTGCTCAAGGGGCTGCTCTGTAGGTTGCTTGCTATGTTTGCCACTTGCCTTGGTCGTGAAGACAGAACAATGAACGAATCCGACAGTACTGAGGCCAACACTGCGCTCGGTTGTTCCGAGGAAATTATCCTGAAATCTGCTTGAGGAGATTAAACCCAAGAAGAACTGGCTGTGTCTGTCCTCTAAAGCCCCGCTCTCCTCTTTGTTTGCCCTTTTTTGCTCCGAGACTTTGTTCATTCCTCCTTCAGAATGGGTTGGTGGCATTGGTATGTAAAGTGTGACCTGCGATTACAGGAGGTGCAGCTCCTTCTCCAGCAGCCCAGGGGAAACATTGCATTCATTCCTCTGCAGCTTTTCTGAGTGTCTGGGCCGAATTCCTGCTCTCCTTTCTTCTGGGATATGAAAAATATCAGCTCCTATATCATTTCTTCTTTGACACAGAGAATATCAGCTTTTACATAATTTCTCCTTGGACACAAAGATTATCAGCTCCTACATAATTTCTGCTGGGACACGGGGAATATCAGCTTGGATGTCATTTCACCTCTTGGATGTCAATCATAGAATCCCAGAATTGTAGGATTTGGGCTGGAAAGGACCTTAAAGGCATCTCATTCCAGCCATGGGCAGGGACACCTCTTGCTAGAAGGTTCCAGAGCTTTGTTAATTCAGTGTTGATGAATCTTTTGATGAGAATTGCTGTAAATTGTGTTGGCTCAGTGTGTCACCATCCTAAATTTTCAAGTGTCACTCCATAACTCTCCTGGCTTCATCCAGTAGCTTCCTTGGGAATTCCTTAGATTGGCTTGGGATGGAAGGGACCTTCAACACCATCTTGTTCCAGCCATGGGCAGGGTCACCTTTCTCTAGAAGCTTCCAGAGCATTATTAATTCAGTATTTTGGTGAAGATTGCAGCTTAAATCAGTGTTGGCTCAATGGATGACTGTCCTAAGTTTTGAAGGGCAGCGTCACTCCATACTCTCCCTGCCTTCCTCCAGTAGGTTCCTTAGGAATCACTGATAGGTTTGGGATGGAAAAAACCTTGAAAGCCATCCAGTTCAGGATGGAAAACACCTTAAAGGCCATCCAGTTCCATCCTGTCCATGGGCTGGGAAACGTGGGAAGAGACAATAGGCAAAGACAGCTAAAGGTGAGCTGCTAATGAGCAGCTGTGTCCTGGGATGAAATCTGTCTTGGGATGAAATCTGTCTTGAGATGAAATCTCTCTTAGGATGAAGTCTGTCTTGGGATAAAATCTGCCTTGGGATGAAATCTGACTTGGAGTAGAATCTGCCTTGGGTTTCTCACAAGCAGCCGACAGCGGTGATAAATTCACCAGCCTTGTGAGAACATTCACAATCATAGGCATTTTCTCATGAGGATTTGAAGTTCATGCTTTGGGGAAGATCTTAAATTTCCCAACTCCATGTGTGCTCCTAAATAGATGCTGAACAGCTGTGAGGCCCTTGATCCAAAATAGAAACTCGTTTTCCTCGCAGTCCTTCCAGGCTTTCTTTTCCAGGATTTCTCCAAATGTAATCAGGAACATGAGGTTACCCCATCCTTGGAGGGTAGGACATTGTGGTTGGGTTCCTCAGCCCAGGGATGTCTCCAACCCTGAGCCACCCAGAGGAGTTTCACCTCTTGAGAAGGTGCTCAAGCACCATTTCTCGCTTCCAAACATTTTTAGTTTCTCAGGTATTGTGCTTTCCCAAAGTGTTTTAGGATTGATATGGCTTTCGGGATAATTGTTCCAGATGGGACAGTGGGGTGTAGAGGGAATGTGTAAAGATGATTTATCCCTTGCAGATCAGAGTCAGAGGGTTTGGTTGATCCTCCCTCCCTGCTGGCTCGGGCAGGCTGCAGTCAAATTTTACAGCAAACTACATTAAAATGCCTTTGCAGTTAGGATTAATTAAAACAGTTTTTGAGGGACACATGTGAAGTCACTTTGGGCTCTTTGCACCAGGACTATTGCGGGATTGGTCAGTGGAATTGGCTGGAGCTGAGTAGCTCTGATCTCAGGGAATCATGGAATGGTTTGGGATGGAGGGACCTTCAAGATCATCCAATCCCATGTTCTGCCATGGGCAGGGACACCTTCCACTGTCCCAGGGTGCTCCAAGTCCCCAAGTCCAACCTAGCCTGGACTCTTCCAGGGATCCAGGGGCAGCCACAGCTGCTCTGGGCACCCTGTGCCAGGGCCTCACACCCTCCCAGGGAAAGAGAAGAACTTCATGTTCATCCCACTCCCATCCTGTGCAAAACTCCAAAGGCACGACCATGGATTGTTCCCTCTGACTTTGGTTTGTGCCTTTTCTATCCAAAATCCAAACATGAACAGTCAAGTCCATAATTTCTGTTTTTATTTGTTTATCACTCCCTTTGAGTCATAACTTCAGACAAAAGCAATGATTTCCCAGCCGTGTTCGCTCCTGTCCTGCAGCGGTTGTCACTTGAGTGATCACTGCAAAGATGAGCGATGATTTCAATCTCAAAGCTCTTCTGGCATCTGAGACTATTAAAAAGCAGAGTCTGAGAAGTGTCCCCTGTGCCCCTGGAGGTGCCTGTGTCTGGCTTGAAGGATGTTCTCCATCCCAAGGTTTTAATGGAAGGTGGAGCAAGGGAGCTGATTAATAACCTTGCTTTGCTTCCCGAAATGAGGCGGTTGAGGGACAGGACTGAGTCCTGGTGTTTCACTCATTAATCTCTTCTTGTTAGAGCCAAAGGGCTGCTCCGTGATTGGACTGCTTTAGGAAAGCTTTGGAAATGGGAGCGTGATGATTTATGTTTCTGATTTTTGTGGCCCTGGCTTGGAAATGGGAAAACTTTTGAGCGGACAAGTGTTCAAGGCAAAGACCACCTGACATGAAATCGCTTTGTCCATTGGTGCCTCTGGTTAGTCATGGAGACAAAAGGCAAAATCCTCCTTCCATATTGCCCAGTCATCCCTAATCCTCATCTCTGTGGAGCTTTAGGAGCTGTTGGAGGGACCCTGTAGGGTGAAAACTGGGATAGATGGGCGATAATGGACCATGCAACTGAAAAATCTGTATTTGGTGAATATTTTCCCTAATTTCTCCCTTTTTGCCATCACACCTGGCTTCATCCCAAGAAAACATTTCATTCTTCCAGCACCTCCAGTGCGTGCAGGAGCCACACAACTCAACCCCAGGCAGGTGCTGCCCCTCAAACCTTTGGTGGCGTTGAGTTGTGGCCTCACAACTCAGGTCCGCTCAGCGCCGAGAGGTTGCGAGGAGGGAGGAGATGAAGCTGTAACTGCAGAGGGTGAAAATGAAGTGAAGTTGGGCAGAACCAACCTCAAAAGACACCCTGGGATGCGTGCAGGCGTCAGCTTCACGAGCATTCCCAAGGAAAAGCTGCTAAATGCCACGGAAGAACCAAGGTCCTCTAAGATGGATCAATTCAAGCCCCTTCAGCGGTTTTAGGTTCAGCTTAAAGAATGGATTAGGAGAAAAATGAACAACCAAAGTATGAAATTTTGGCCAGATTAGGCTGGAAGGAGATAAATGTGGCCTTGGAAATATTCTCTTCGCTTTAGAAGCCAACGTTATTCAGTTGTCAGATGTCTTCATCCACCAGAAATAAAAATGCCACCCAACGGCCGCGGGTCTCCGCATTTGGGCTGACCAAGAGGCGCCATCACCAGATCATGCAAATAATCTGCTGCCTGATAATTAATGACGCGGCCGGGCATATTTTTTTGATGAATGCTCATGGAGCCTGGTGACAGGCGTGAAATTAGAAAATTCCTTCAGCGCCCTAAAATATAAATAGCTTTCGGAACTGAAAAGAGTTTCACAGCTGAAGATTTTATTGTGTTGAGAGGAAAAACTTTTCCACCCCCATCCCCCCCTTTCTTCTGGGCGAGTTGTTTGTCCGTTCACAAAACAAATACTCTGAAGCCCAGTGCGGCTCATGGGAATAAATTTCAGGTCGAATTAGTACAGTTTCCTTGCTGTCAGGACGGTGGAATTAATGGTGTTTTGATGACACGAATTTTGAAGGGCGAACAAAGACGCTGAAGGGAGGGAGACATGACTCCTTAGAAGCGCGGTCCTCCTCTCCCCCAGCCTCTCTTGTCTTCCCTGTCATCCGTCTGCCAATCTCCCTGTCCATGGTTAGTTAAAGGCGCTTTTTATCCTCTTTTCTTTCCCACAGAGTTTGCCAGATCCGGCCCAGTGCCTGGGTTCCAAGGGGACACGCTGCAGTTGGCCTTCATCGACTTGAGACAAGTAAGTCTTTGTGTTTTTGTTTTTTGTTTTGCTTTTAAGATGTGTGACTGAAGACCATCAGGTCTTAAGGGAAGGGAGAGGAGGGGAAACGGCGTCAGTGATTTACGCCAGAGACCTATATTTCCCCCCTCCTCCTCCTGCTCTCGAAGCCACCTCCTCGCCGAGTGCTCCTGGAGATGGTGGAGGTGAAAAGGGCTGGTGGAAGGGGGCGAGGAAGAAAGCCAGGCCTGACCCTGGCCAACGGGGCCATTGTGCTGCCCTTGGCTCCTTGGCGAAGGGACCGCGGCCGGTGCCGAGCAGGTGCTGGGAACAGAGAGAGCAGTGATGCAGAGCCCGCCCGCCTCAGGGACCTTTGTTCCCAGAGAAGGCCCACGGAGGCGTTTGCGAGGGCGGAGGAATTTGCATTCCCCTGTGTCCGTGCCCGTCTGTGTCCCCTCTCTGTGTCCCCTCTCTGTGTCCCTTGGCCACCCCCCTGTCCGGCCAGCAATGACAAAAGTGGCTCTTGGGGAATATGGTTGGGGAAGGCTCCGCCCATCGATGGCCACCTCTGGAGGGGGCCCCGTTGGAGCCAAGTTGACCATAGCAGGTACTGAGGCCTTTGTGAGGCTTGGCAGCCAATTTTGGGAAAAGGGCCATTCTGGGGAGTCATTTGTTTGGGGAGAAATGGGCATTATTGATACACTAGGCTGGGGGGAAAAGTGAGGTGGTCCTGTCATCTCTTGGCACTGAAGATGGATGGGTTGGAGGGAAAGTCTGAATGAAGTAAGACTCAATGACTGATGCTTCTCTCCTATTAAAACAATCTTTTTTTGTCTGTTAAACCCCCCTGGCTTTGTCCCTGCTGCCATCATGATGCAGTGCCTCTTGTTCGCGGGGTTGACGTAGTTTGCATTCTGAAAACTTACGGGTGCCGAGGGTATTTCTTAAATCTGCATAATCCCTTGTATCGATGATCTTGCCCCTGCCTCTGATTCGTGCTGGAGCTGCTTTCAACCCGCCAGGGTTTGAGAACTCCTCAGAATCCAATTGATGTGCGGGGAGCCATCTGTCATCCCACGACACTTGTGTTAACTTTAATAACATCAAGACGCCACTTTCTGGGCCCGGGCCCGCCAGGAACTGCCAAATTTGTTTGCAAGAATGGTCCCAGCAGCTCCATGGGAGAGGTGTGCGTTATCACCAGGCTGTGTTGACACTTTTATCTTCATTAGCTCCTTGGCGCTTTATGGACTGCGGCGCTCAGTGCAGCCGCGGCCTCCTGAGTGTGAGGGAATGTGGAGGCCCTGGGCCTTTTCCAAGCTCCAGGCCGTGAATGTGGGGATTTTGGAGAGGGAACCTGAAGCTCTTGGAAGAGTGAAAAGCCTGGAAATGTCTCAGCGAGGTCAAGCCAGTGAAATGTTCATGTAGTTCATGAGTACAAAATGCAGCCTAAGGGACCCAGCTCGGGTGAGGAGGAGGAGAAGGAGCAGGAGCCTCCTTGGTCCTTCCTCCTCTGTCCAATGCGTGTCCTTGGACACGGAGGTTTCGTCTTTGTTCCAGGAGTTTTGTTCTTGCATTTAAGAACATTGTTCTTGCTCCCAAGTTTTGTTCTTGCATTTAAAAACAGCAGCACCTCCAAATCTCAAGGCCAGGTTGGACAAGGAGCAGATTGAAGGATCCTGGGACAATGGGACTGTGGCACATGGAAGGGATGGCACTGGGTGGCTTTGAGGTCCCTTCCCACCCAAACTGTTCCAGGATTCTGTGATTATACAAGGAGAAAGGGGAGATACAGGATGGGAAGTCCTGGATCTCCTGGGTAATGGATGATGACTGATGAGGGGAAAATCAAGTTGTTGTCCAGATAATGGAGAAGAGCTGACCCATCCCTGACTTATCCAGTGGCATGGGAAGATGAGGCAGTTCCCCCTCCCTGCTGCTGTCCATGACCCGACCTGGTGGCATTTTGGGATGTGTCACCAGACCCCATCCAAACAAGGCTCTCTGTGGCCACCAGACCTCCTTTGAATGCTCCCAGCACTTCTTGTTGGACTGCAGCTCCAGCTGGGAACAGAGAAAGGTGGGAAGGTCATGGATGAAGGGTCTTTCATTGTTCTTTGACTTGTCTTGACATTTCTCTTGTTGGACTTGGCATTCTTTCTCTTTTAAGCCATGAAATTAAACTGAAGCAGGGTAGATTAAGTGGGATATTGGGAAGGAATTGCTCTCTGTGAGGGTGGGGAGGAACTGAGATGGAGCCCAAGGCCTCCCAGAGCAGCTGTGGCTGTCCCTGATCCCTGGAAGTGTCCAAAGCCAGGTTGGACATTGAGGCTGGGATAGTGGAAGGTGTCCCTGTCCATGGCAGGGGAGGGAGTGGGATGAGATTTAAGGTGCCTTCCAACTCAAACCATTCCATGATTCTGTGAAATGTCATCGCAATGTTAGTTTAAATTGAATGACCCAGCTGGGGGAAGGCAGGAGGAGAAATGACTGGGCAAAAATTCACCAAAGTAGGGAAATTAAAGAGATTTCCCTTCCCAACATGTTTCAGTAGGAGCTGTTGCAGAACATTTGTAAATCCGAGAAAATTTTCGCTGTAATGGGAGATGATTATGGGAGTGACCAAAATTAATAAAAATATTAAGTGACAGGAAAATGTGGTGACTTGGTTTGTGCCTTGGTGCAGATCCTTGTAGTGGGAAATAAACCCTAAAAAGATGTCACTGTTTAAAGGCATCAGAGTTTGTCCTTGTTCAGAGAGCAGACTCAAGTTTTGTACATCAAAATCCTGGTTTTCCCCTCGTGCCCAATGAAATCAGGAAGAATTCCATCCTTGTCTGGAAAAGAGGAAGAGTTGAGCCCAGAAAATCAAAATCACTATTTTAAGCAGGCAGAAATGTAAAATGGGGCTTGTTGTCTTATTCTGGGACAATTCTAAATCCATAAATACCCTTAATGAAGTCATAAAGGAAACCCACCCCCATCTCAAGTCCTCCTGCAGGAGTGAGACTCAAATATTTCAGGTTTTACAAGGAGGGAATATTTGCTTTTCCCCCTTCCAGTTTAAACATTGCTCTTGCACACAGTGCAGTATTTTGGAAATGTAAAATAAATTTAGTCCCTTGCTGAAATTTGAAATAATGATCTCCTCTGGATCTTCATCAAACACCCCTGAATGTCCAAACACCACTGGAGATCTCCAGGTGCTCTCAGGTCATTCCCAGTCCCGCACGTGGAATCATTCCCTGTTTTCCCCACAGCTGGAAGTGTTTCAATTTTTGGCTTCCATGGGTTTGTTGTGAGGACATTGGTGCCAGGGGAGGGTTTTGTGCTGGTCCCTGAGGTGCCTGCAGTCCCTGGCCACGCTGATCTCTCCTAGAAGCCAGATCAGCGCTCGTGGCCGCCTTCCAAGGAAAATCTGCATCCAGCACTTGAGGAATTTCACTCTGGGCTCCAGGGAGGGAGCGTGCTCAGTGATGAGAGCTCCCTCCTCCCAGCCTCTCCTTCTGTCCAGTGAGTTACAAATCCTGATCCTCTGCAAGTGCCAGCCTGAGCTCTGAGGGATGTTTGGACCGAGGCAGGTGGGAACCCACCTGGGCTGAGGCACCTGGGTGTCCAAGGGATGGGGACAGGGGGGTTCCACTCTTCTCCCCCCAAAATTTTCTGCTTTGCTTTATGCAGACTTGGTGGGTTTGAATTTCAGCATCAACTCCTTGAACCCCATCAGTGGGGTTAAGACAGGCAAGGTCAGGCTTAGGTGGGATCTTGGGAAGGAATTGCTGGCTGGGAGGGTGGGCAGGGGCTGGGCTGGAATTCCCAGATTTGCTGGGGCTGCCCCTGGATCCCTGGCAGTGCCCAAGGCCAGATTGGATCCATCTGGGGCAGTGGGAGGTGTCCCAGCCCATGGATGGGGTGGAATGGGATGGGCTTTAAGATCCAACCCAAATCATTCCATGGTTCAGCTGGGAGTGGGAGCCTCCCAAGGAATGGGATGGATTTAAGGTCCCATCCAACACAAGCCCCACTCCATGACTCTGCTACTGCTTGTCCCATGGGAAGTGCTTTGTTTGTGTGTTTTCCCTGTGTTGGGATCCATCTGTGGTTATTGTGGGATCCTGCTGGACCCCAGCCAGCTGGGAATGGGAAGTCTCCCTCCAATGTGTTCATTTTTCTCTTATTATCCCTGGTAGAGACACTTAATAATGGAATGATCCCCTCAGGAACACAGTTCCCTTCCATCCCTGCTCCGTGATGGAACCATGGAATCGTTTGGGTGGGAAGAGACCTTAAATCCCATCCCATTCCACCCTGCCATGGGCAGGGACACCTCCCACTGTCCCAGGGTGCTCCAAGCCCTAGTGTCCAACCTGGCCTGGGACACTTCCAGGGATCCAGGAGCACCCCTAACCTCTCCCAGGTTTCTTCTCTCCCCTGCCCTGTGTGCAGTCCCCAGATGTCCCCGTTTCCTCCAGCCCTGCACCTTTTTATTTAAAAATGAGAACCAAGCAGAGGAGCAAAGCTGCAGCGTGAGCTCATCCCTTAGCCTGACATTCCAGCAGCCTGGATTCCTGGGCTCCGTGCCTGGATTTGAGGAACCACCTGCTCTCTTGGAGGGAGCAGCCAGTGTGAGGTCACGCCGGGAGCTCCAGTGGTGCTGGAATGGTGGGCATCCAGCCTGGCTTCTTATCAAACACCAGCTGATAAATCAGGTGGTGGGAATCCTCTGGCTGGATGTCTGGCTGCTCTAGGGGCACTGGGAGGCCTGGAATTGTGTCCTTGTGTCAGGCACTGGAACAGCTCCCCAGGGAATGGGCACATTCCTGAGGCTGATGGAGCAACGCTCCCAGGGGTGCCCAGGGTGGGATTTTGGGGTGTCCCAGGAAAGGGAAGGAGTTGGACTCAATTTTGTGGGATCTCTTTCCACTCAGCACCTCCCATGACATGTATCCCTGTCTCCTACTGCTTCCATCCCCTGGTGGTAGCTGAGGGAAAGCCCTTGGGATTTGGGCTGAAGATCCCCT